GGGGGGGGGGGGGTGGGGGGGGGGGGGGGGTCCCATGCCCCTGCCACCCTCCCCCACACCCCACAAACCACACACACAGATACACCACCCTCCCCACCACCAGTGTTGCCTGTATTGACTGCAGGAGAGGACAGTGTGGTCCAGAGATCAGCGTGTTCCAGGTGCACACACCCACACCCTACAAATGCCACACAAGCCCCCAACATACCCTATGCCCCCTCACACACACCCCTCACAAACTCCCCCACATCCCACCACACCCCCCCAACCTAAGCACCCCTACACCCCCACCATGCACATATCCACCCCCCACTGTACACACACAGACACAGCACCCCCACCATACACCCCACCATATACACACACAGACACCATACACCCCCACCATAACCCCTCCCAACCCCTTCTCCCACAATATAAAAAACTAAGAATTTTTTTGAGTTATTATGAAATCACCTTTATATACACAAACACAAATCATGAAAAAGATATTTGCTGTAATAAAATTAAAATATGGTAGGTGTTTCACTTTTAGTGTATGATTTGTTTCTTTCTGGTCCTAACATGGCAACTCCCCACTCCCAAAAGGAGTATTTCTGGGGAGCAAGGGGAGGGACTTCTGGTGGCAAAAGTCAGGGGCCAGGGAGAGGGGGTTAAACACCCCTTTCACTACTCAAACTTACTGTTAGCTGCAACTGTGGATTACAAATCTCAGATACATCTGGAAACAAGAAGAGGAAGTGATGGGCAACCCTGCAGAGTCCTTCTGCTGTAATTCTGGACTGCAAATCCCAGAGAACTCCATCCCAATGCATAGGAAGACTAGCAAATATGGCAGAAGACTAGCTTGGCTTAGCAGGGAACACTTCAATGCACTAAGTCATAAAAAAAGCTTATAAAAAGTGGAAATTTGGACAAATAAATAGGGAACAGTATATGAGCATTTCTCAGTCATGCAGAGATGAATTTAGGAACGCTAAAGCGCAATTAGAGTTGCAGCTAGTAAGGGATGTGAAGGGTAACAAGAAAGGTTTCTACATAGTTTGGTAGCAAGAGGAGGATCAGGGAAAGTGTTGTCCCTTACTGAATTGGGGAGGCAACCTTGTGACAAGAAGATACAGAAAAGGCTGACATGGTCAATGCCTTCATTGCCTCGGTCTTCATAGGCAAGGACAGCTCCCAGACTACTGCACCAGGCAGCACGTTTTGGGGAAGAGGTGAGAAGCCAATAGTTGTGAAAGAACAGGCAGGGATTATTTAGAAAAGCTGAACATACACAAGTGCATGGGACTGGATGGGGTGCACCTGAGGGTGTCAAGGGAGTCAGCTGATAAACGTACAGAGCCTCTGGCCTTTATCTTTGAAAACTCATGGTGATCAGGAGATGTCCCAGATGATTGGAAAAGGGCAAACATAGTGCCCATATTTAAGAAAGAAAAAAAGGAGGATCCAGGGGACTACAGACTAATCATTCTCACCTCAGTTCCTGGAAAAAATCATGGAGCAGATCCTCAAGGAATCCATTTCTAAGCACTTGGAGGAGAAGTGGGTTAGGAAGAGTCAGCATGGATTCATCAGGGGCAGGTCATGCCTGACCAACCTGATTGCTTTCTGTGACAATGTGACTGGCTCGGTGGGTGCAGGGAGACCAGTGGATGTGATATACCTTGATTTTAGTAAGGCTTTTGATACAGTCTCCCACAACAGTCTCACAGGCAAGCTAAGGAAGTATGAATGAATAGACTGTATGGTGAATAGAAAAATGGCTGGACCATCGGGCTCAGAGAGTAGTAATCAATTGCTCAATGTCTAGTTGGCAGCTAGTATCAAGTGGAGAATGCCCTATGGATCAGTCTTGGAGCCACTTTTGTTCAATGTCTTCATCAACAACCTGGAAGATGGGACGGAATGCACCCTCAGCAAGCTTGCAGATGACACCAAGCTGGGGGGAATAGTAGATATGCTGGAGGGTAGGGCTACGATTCAGAGTGACCTAGATAAATTGGAGGATTGGGCCAAAAGAAATCTCATGAGACTCAACAAGGACGAGTGTAAAGTCCTACACTTAGGATGGAACAATCCCATGCACCAGTACAGGCTGGGAGCTGACTGGTTGGGCAACACCTCTGCAGAAACCTGGGGGTTACAGTGGACAATAAAATGAATATAAGCCAGCAGTGTGCCAAGAAGGCTGTCAAGAAGGCTAATGTATGGTTGGATTGCATTGGGAGGTATGTTGCCAGTAGGTCAAGGGAAGTGAATATTCCTCTCTATTTAGCACTGATGAGGCCACATTTGGAGTACCGTGTTCAGTTTTGGGCTCCGTACTACAGAAAGGATGTGGACAAATTGGAGAGGGTCCAGGGGAGGGCAACAAAAGTGGTGAGGGGGATGGGGGACATGACTTATGAGGAAAGACTAAGGGAACTGGGCTTATTTAGTTGTGAGAAGAGGATACTGAGAGGGGACTTAATAGCAGGCTTCAACTACCTTAAGGGAGCATTGAAAGAGGATGGAGCTAGACCAACGGCAGGCAATTATTTCAGGTGGAGGGCCACTTAACGAGATTTGGTGAACTCTTGAGGTCCACATGAGTAGCCCTGTCCCTTGACCGGTGCCCTGCCACTGACCGCCATCTTGGAACTGGAAGTCCCACCCCCTAATCCCACTGCAGACTGGGCTGCAACTTGTCAGCCAGCCCTCACTGCTCCAGCTAGGGAGCAGAGGGGCAGAGCCAGGTCTGCTCTCTGGAGCAGACAGCACAGCCCAGCTCAGGGCTGGAAAGCATGCTGGGATGCAGAGGGACTATGATTTAACTTGAACCACGAAGGGAGGTCTGGGACAGAAGTTTTATAAAATGATTTGACCCAAATCAGTTCAGGCTGATACCACATTCAACCAGGTTTATCATAAACCAGTTTCAGCCATTTTGAAACTGGTTTTTGTGCACTGAGCTTCTGTTCTGTTACAGGTTTAAACCAGTTTCTTATTACTTAAACCAGTTTATGTGTAACTTCTGTCCCTAGCCCCTCAGGCAGTCTTTCCATGGGATCCTACCCATAAGTTCCCTGAGTGAGTCAAAGTCTGCTTTTCTGCAGTCCAGGCCCCTTACTCTGCTGCTCTCCATCCTTCCTTTACTCAGGATCCTGAATTCAATCATCTTGTGGTCACTTCTGTCCAAGTTGCTATCCACTACTACATTCCCCACCAATTCTTCCGTTTGTGAGCAGCAGGTCAAGAAGATCAAAGTCCCTAGTAGGCCGGTCCAGCACTTGCACTAGGAAGTTGTCCCCAACACTCTCCAAAAATTTCCTTGATTGCCTGCACACTGCTGTATTGCCCTCCTAGCAGATGTCACGGTGATTGAAGTCTCGCTTGAGAACCAGGACTTGTGATTGGGAAACATCCACTAGCTGTTTGAAGCAAGCCTCATCCACCACTTCCTCCTGGTCTGGTGGTCTATAGCAGATACCCACCACAACATCACCCTGGTTGCTCTCCTCCAAAACCTTAACCCAGAGACTTTCATCAGGCCTATCTCCAGTTTCATACTGGAGCTCTGAGCATTCATATTGTTCTTTTACATAAAGTGCAGCTCCTTTTCTTCTCCCCTGCCTGTTCTTCCTCAATAGTTTATACCCAGCCATGACAGTTCTCCAGTCATGTGAGCTATCCTACCAAGTCTCTGTTATTTCAATCACATCATAGTTCCTTGACTGTGCAAAGACTTCCAATTCTTCCTACTTGTTTCCTAGACTCTGTGCATTCATGTACATTCATGTACAGGAACCTGAGATAACTAGTAGACGTTAGGTGAATGGTGACTCAAAGATAAGCCAAAAAGATACAGATTATGGGCTCAAATATGTAAATATAACACCCAGTAAAGGGGCTTTTCATTGTTCGTTAGGGAGTTATGCTAGTAGCTCTTGGCATGTCTTCATTACAGATCACCACATGGTTCCCAGGATATGTACACTGCACAACTCCCCCTTTCTCTTAATCTACCAGAGGGGTATTCCATCAGACTGCTACCCAAGCTAAAGAAAGGAGTAAAGCTGGAGTGGCTCAGAGGTAGCCTAGAGGAGAACGCATATCTGTCCCCTTGTGGGTCTGTAGGAAATATGTCAAAAAGATCATTCAAGTAAAGTTTTATTATGTATTTTGTGGAACATCACCTTAGAAATCTCCATGCAAGAGTTGCAGGAGCCAGAACTTGTATACAGGCTAAATCCTATTTTGCTTTACCCAACTGACCTGTACACAACTGTGAAACTGCAAATTTGGGCACTTTAGTATGGTTTGCAATTCAGCTTTGTCCATTCCAGCCTACAAACATTCTCAATAGATCTGTCCTCTAGCTGGAAGAGGAGGAAGAGGACCTTCGCACCTATTTAGTTTATATGATCAAATAATGCACAGTAAAAACCTAAATTCAGTAAAAGTTTTGGTATTGATCTTATTGCAACCAGGATTTCATTGTTAAACCCTGTGGCACTTATAACAAGTCTGTGAAATGGGTACAGTACCATTCATAATCAGGTTTCCTACTGCAGGTGATAATGCATTCTTACATTCATATTTTTTAAAGTGCTTTGTGATCCTTTTGTGATGTATTTTACTAGAATGTATAATATTCATACTTTAAATCATACACTGGGGTGAATTGTTTGGATGTATGTTTCAGCATATTTTTTTGTTGTTAACAGTTATCTTTTTTTAAGCCCACTCCAAGTCGCTATAAAATTCTTCTAGAAGCCAAAGCATTTCCCTCTGACCACGTAAGGAATTAATATTTTACTATATTTATATTATTAATCATATTTTTGGAAAGAGCATCAGTAGCCTGATTTGAATATTTATTAGCTCATCTTGTCCAAGTAACATTACAATAAAAAAATCTGTCAAATGCTTTTGAGTTCAGCATATTTTACAGATAGTAGCTTTATTCCTTTTGTTCAAATAAAAAATGTTTTACAAGAGGAAGAGATTGAATGGGTACATTGATTTATTAGTCTTTTTAAAGACATTGAGCAAACTGCTGGCCTAAATCAACTGAAGTTGTAAATGTTTTATTAATTCTTGTTGCTATTTTACTTTATGAAACCAAATCAATACAAACTCACAACATTAACACTTATATATCCCCAGACAGAGATGGAAATGCTTGTTCTTAGCACTTTAGATTACTAGTTCAAACATAATTTGTGTGCTATAAAATAGCAGACAATAGTCCGTGCATCAGAGCTTAGAGCAAATTAATCTTCGGGTTTGTGGCCCACTGCTGCTTTATCATCAACTCAGTAAACTCTTGGAAATTGATAAGAAATTTGATCTTTAAAGTGCTATAAAATGACTCCAAATATTACTCACAGGGCTATTTGCAGCAAAGATGGTAGCATGGTTGTGTAAACTTTCAATTGTCTTTAGTGTAAGCTATGGAGTTTAGCATTGTACTAGTCCTTCATTCAGTAACTCCATTTTTACACTTTGTGCCATTTACTTATGGATCATGGACACCACAATTATAACCTATGCAACTTTGGTCACTTTACACCCAAGCCCTGTAATTTCAGATTATTTCTTCTTGACTGTACTTGATACTGACTCCAAAACCTTACCAATACAATACATTTATTGACAGAATTAATGTTTGGCATTTTCAGTGCCATCTGAAAATATCAACAGAGCAAAATTAACATGTGAAAAGTAGCATGTGTTAGCATACTAGTATTAACTTCATCCAGGTACCAGGGTTAGCCAAAACTCTGAACATGCTAGCTTTTAGCACGTGTTAGCAGCCAGAATACCTAGCCCAGATCACTGAAGAGTTTGTATCCTAGTTGCCAGCACATGGTAATGCCCACGCTGCTGTCTCTTCACAGCTGTTGTTACAATGCTGGCTCAATTAAGCTGTCATGGTTGTATTGGCACATGGCACAATCACACCTTCATTTGTTGTTTATGCTTTCCATGAAGGGTTTAGACAAGGAGTGAAATTCTGGCCTCCTTAAAACTCATGGGAGTAGAGAGAATGGGCCCATCAGGATTCAGTGAAGCCAGAATTTTACCCATTAATAAAGATACTTCCAAATCACCTTCTAAACCTCTAAAGTGTTGTGGTGTTTGTTGGTTTTATGGTCATTTAGTTATGTTAATACATAGTTTGTAAAACCCTTTTTCAGTATGTTGTTGAATCTCAGCTTCAATTGCATGGACTTGATGTGGAAAAATGCATGCTCATGATACAGCCCCGAGAGGTTAGTAAGAAATATAAATATAAGTCTTCTCTCCTTGATAATACTGATTTATGTATAAGTGTTTAAAGAGAGGCGATATCTTCTTCCAAGACCTCTACAGCAGTGGTGCTCAAACTCTGGCCTTATGGGCTGGATGCAGCCCATGAAGCCATGTCACCTGGCCCATGGCTCCCCACAGGTCCATAAATTTGGTAAAATGGGAGTGGTGGTAGCATTAATCCCCATTCCCCTGCTGCCAACATTTCGGACTCAGGGAGAGCCTTGCAGGCTGGATAACATGGCCCTGCCTTGGTGCACAGGGCCAGCATGCAACTGTGTCCCGTGCTCAGATCAGGCCCACAGACTAACTTCATGCCCCCAACCCACCTCTCCTCACCCCACCCCATGGTCCAACCCTATGCCACTCAACCAGCCTTCAGGGCCAAAAGCTTGGGCACCACTACTCTAAAGCACATTACCCCTCATTACATACCTGCCTCTCCTTCTAGATTTAATGTCTTTTATGTACCTAGAGTTAGACAAGCTTATGAATTGCCACTAATTATCTGTTCTGTGTCCTGCAAATATTTCTCTTATTTTAAGGTCAGATATTACCCTTGGCATCTGGCTTAAATTTATGGACTTTTCTTGTAAGAAGAAAAGTCTTTACAGGAGAGTTGTTTATCATATATTTTCTGATTGCTATAACACAGTAGGCTCCACAGAGAATACAGAAGACTGCAGTTCACTGGTATATAATTCAGAAGCATCAGCATATATCTTCCTCATAGTTTCCTGCCTTAAAAGACTGCAATAAAGGCGACATTCTGTGTCTTTATTATCAGAACCTAAGGAAAAGGTCTGCTTTGAGAAATATATAATTCAGATCAATTTGAAAGATTGCGTTACCTTACTTTCTCAACATTAAGAACTTTGCCACCTGACTATAAAACTGATGATGACCTTTTGATTTTAAAAACTGAGTCATCCTGCGAGGGGAGAGTCTACTTCTGAATCGTTGATAGATGTTCAAAGATTGTTGAGAAAATAGCAGTTACTTCCAATTCAACAAATCTTACCCAAGCTTTCTTGCAGCAGCAAGTCTAATTTCATTCTGAGTTTTCACTGCCTAATTGATCCCTGGGTGATGGTGTGTTTTGTATGATCCCTTGCTAGGAAGAAGTGTGGGAGGAGGTGTAGTTATGCTGTAGAGAAACAAAACTGAGATTTTTTTTTTGTTGACATTTCTCTATATTTAATGACCTTAAGGTTTCAGGTTTTTTATACTTTTGATGATGAGAGAATTATTTTTTTTTAAATATATAAATATGGCAGATTTTTGTAACAGCATCCTATGGGATATGGAGTGCATCTGAAAAGTAAGAAATGAGATTGATAGACAGCTTTTAAGTCTCGTGGGTGTCACAAATTTCAAATGCCACATAAAAATCATTATATATGCTGTTTGCACCAGGATATTTTATACCGTAAATTAAAACTGTCTGAAAAATTAAGGAGAGTGAAGCAGGCTAGAAAATGAAGTGAATAGGCTTTTTAAAGACTCTGTCACCTTCAAAATAATTTTGCTAATGATTTTTTTCCTTTTCTTTTTTCCAATAACCTACTCAAAGGCTACTTCATGGCTCTACCTTTGTAGATCATTACGATGCCAGGGATGCTAGAGATTCACTTTTGATCTCCCTGTGCAAGCAGCACGGCACATAGTAAAATATAGATTATGAAATAAGAAATGACAGTTTCATTACTGCCAGGGTTGATGTAAAATATGTGCTTTAACTATATTTTAGGGGGAGGAGACCTTGAGAATTGAAGATATCCTTGCTGTAATTGAGAAGGAAGGAGACTCTGTTGCTGTAATTCTGTTCAGTGGTGTGCAGTACTATACAGGACAGCTGTTCGACATCCCCAGAATAACAAAGGCTGGTCAAGAAAAGGTAGAATTGTTCCAAGATTTTTATTCCTCTAACACTAGCTTTAAAGATTTTTTTTCCTGTGATTTTTTTTTAAAGTTAACTGATACCTTTTCTGTGGAACTGTACTGAACAGTTAGGAAACCTTATAGGATTCTAATAAAAACTAAATAGTATTCCATACAAATTTCTCTAAAGATCTATAGAATGTCATAAAGAATTATCCCTGATATAGAAATTTTATTTGTTGGCTTAAAAAAAAATCTATAGAAAGGTTATTCACATGTACTAGATTCTACAAGTTTCTTCTTTCAGATTCTGGATTGAAGGGGTGCAGTGAAGAGGGAAGCCATGCCCCCAACACCTATTTAAAACCTACAACCTTTTTGTTAGATTTTTTTATTAAAGCAGAAATTTGTGTTGCTCTCTCCTCTCACCCCTTTACTGGCAGCTGCTATCACAGCGTTTTGCCTCCAGTCAGCAGGGCAGGTGAGTTCCCAATGGAGCTGACAGCATTCTGACTCAGCTAATCAGTTAGCAGGAGACAGGCAGGATACAGAGTACATCACCTTCACAAGATGACTAGTTTTCAATGACTCAGCCCAGGGAAGTTGCAGTCAGTGGACTAGAGACTTACTCTTTAGATGTGTGTTAGTGCATTCTTTTAACCATCTTGATTGCCTCAGGAATCGAGGAGAAGATAGAGTTTTAATTAAATTTTCTTATCAGTAGGAGATCAGTAGACTTTCTAGAGGGGCATCCTTTATTGGACATACTTTATCTGACCTACGATTAAAACACTCAAGGAATTGACGTACTTAAAGTTACAAACATTTAGCTGGTTTGTGGAATAGCTGATGTACTAACCGTCTAGGGACTGTGCCCCTGATTCACATGAGGAATTGGATTACCTTTTGCTCCTGTTGATCTTGGCACAAGAAAGTTTTTATTCTGGAGGCAAGGGAGGAAATTTTAGTGTCAGAAGGTAACAAGAACTTGGGAAGCCAATGGAGATCTAGAAGTTAGTTGCAATGAGTGCACTCAGTGTCCAACATCTGTCAAGCCAATTTGCCTGGTGTGGCTAAAAACTGTTCTGCTTTCTCCTTTGTAGTGAAACTGTAAGGGAAAAGAGATAGTTAGCAATTCTGACAGGTGCAGAAATCCAAACATTATATTTCCTTGCATCAGCTTGGATAAATTTACATCTGCGTGCTTTAGATCCATATAGCTCTAGCTATAATACTTTTATAGCATTTTCTTTTGAGGAGCATCACGTCCTTTGTTAATGCAAATAAAGATGAAGTTACATGTTATACTTGGACCATACTACATGTGTGGAATGTTACTTGGTGTTAAATGTGAACTGTGGCACATTAAGGGTTAATACCGTTTCGTGCCCACACAGCTCTGACTTGCCACTAGAAGGCTGGCAAACAGGGGCATAGCTAAGAGCCAGGATACCTGAACTTCATCATTGTTTGGGGCGATCAGGGGGCATGGGGGCTAGAAGCAATGCATCCTGGGATGCTGGTGGACTGCCAATTTAATTTCTGTGGAGAAGACTGAAGTTATCTTGGCACGAGTTAGGTAGCATGGCCCAGAATTAACCCCTGCCCAAAGTGCCTTTTTAACTGCTTTTAATATGACCTAAATGTAACATGTAAGATCATCCTTAAATTAATTAAACTTCATAACTTTGCCCTCTGATTACAGGGATGACAAAAGATGATGCGCGCAGATACTACTGTACTTTGTTTCTTTATAAAAGAGGCTGTTGTTCTATTGGAGCTGGAAATAAATGTAGGCATGAATTAACTCATGATGGATTAAAGTTAAAGATAAGCCTGTACAAGAAAGAAGTGATACGAAGAAGGGCTAGTTGATTCAATCTCCACCATCTGAGGGCATCAGGCCTATAGCATTTAACAGCCAAATGAGTAATGAAAGACTTGAAGTATCTCATCAGGCTGCACTCTCCCATGTTGCCCCATCCAGTTCTTAATCTTAGTCTTTCAGATTCTCATTGCCCAGCTATCTTAAAGATCACATATCCTTCCCAATTTGTTCAGAATGATGAAATGTGGTAGTTCAGAATGAAAATCTTAAAAACAAGACAGAACATTATTGAAAGAAGGCTGTAATATTTGGAATCTTGTGTAAAAAAAAAGACTGGAATAAGCCCGAATCAAATCATGTTCAAAGCAAAATGCAAGACTGACCATATTGGTGAGCATGACAAATGATCCCACACTACTTGGTGAACAGAAAGTAAAGTAAGGATAATAGAAAAGAAAAAAAGGAAATGAAGAAGAGACAGGGAGGAAAAAAGTAAATTTAAAAAACCCCCAAACACTGAATAGTACTGTCAAATAATATGGCAGAGGAAAAAGTCCTACATATAATGGCTTTACAATGCTCTATCCTTATAGCCTAGAGCAGTTTTATCAATGTTTAGTTACAGATGTGAAAGGTCAGAAAGTCCTGCAAAAAGTATTTTAAGTAGCCTAAGGCTACTTATTTACAACTTTAAGTTCCTGATTTCCTTTTGAATTTTTTAAGTCAATTTCCTAAGTTTGGTGCTAAGCTGAGATTCCTTCCAGAGTGAAAGTTCTGCACAGACAGCTTCATTAAATCATTAAATATTAAATGAACTAAATTAAGTTTGAAAAATTACCTCAGGCTATTTTTCCATCTTGGGTCTCTCAGATCAATCAAAATTACTACATATTGTGAGAGATTCTTATCAACAGGGCACAGACTGCGTGGTCTCTTGCTCTAGTTCCTGTCTGAATTTCTGCCCCTTTTTTTTTTGGTAGGGTAACCCTATAGTCTTTTGTACCAGTGAAGAAATGCCCAACTTGGACAGTAACCTCTTAAATTCACTTTTTTATCAAGCTACAGTAGAAAATTCTTCCTTTGAGTTGCTACATTTTGTATGTAGAGTATTTTAATTTCTCAAGTCCCAGTAGGAAGTGCTTTAAGATCCTTCATCTTCATTTCTTTTCCTGTCTCTGCTTCTAAAATGCCCCAGCCTGCTTGTGTGAAGCTGTCATCTCTCTCTCGCTCTCTCCAAATGTCATTGTCCATGCTGAGCTGCTACCTGCTGGTACTCAGACATTTCCCAATGATGACTTTCAGAGGTTAACATAAAAAAGTGGTGGCTAAGGGGAGAAGGGAAGCACAGTTTCTTCTTTGCCAAAATCAGATGGAGAATTCCCCATTGTCTCTCTAGCTTGACAGAACAACACTCCCATATAACTCCCCTTTTTGCATGGCTGGTGCAGTGCAAACTGTTTCTTTTTGCTAAAACCATTGCTTGAAAAGTGTGCATCTTGACACTTATAGCAGAATTCTGTTTCACTTGGGGCATGTAAATGGCATTTCTACAGTCATGTAAGCGCAGTTTTTGGCACTTACACACAGTTGGCAATTCAGCTCTGAGCATGCAAGCATGCATATGCCCACTGAGCCTGCTGAGTAAAGCTGAGACTTGGCCAGCCAAGTTTGTGGCAGCATGTGCTCACTCAAGTATGCATGTAAGGCAGGGTTCATAGAGTCATAGAATAATAGAAAGTTAGTGTTGGAAGGGACCTCAGGAGGCTCATATTCAGCTTATTGTCCACTGAAACCCCCAGGTCCTTTTTCTGCAGAGCTGCTGCCCAGCCAGTCAGCCCTCAGCCTGTACCAGTGCATGGGATCGTTCCATCCTAAGTGTAGGACTTTGCACTTATCCTTGTTGAACCTCATGAGATTTCTTTTGGCCCAATCCTGCAATTTGTCTAGGTCACTCTGAATCCTAGCCCTCCCCTCCAGCATATCTACTACTTCCCCAGTTTGGTGTCATCTGCAAACTTGCTGATGGTGCGGTCTATGCCAACTTCCAGGTCATTTATGAAGACATTGAACAAAACTGGCCCCAGGACCAACCTCTGGGACACTCCACTTAATACTGGCTTCCAACTAGATGTCAAGCCATTGATTACTACTCTCTGAGCCTGATGCTGTAGCCATTTTTCTATCCACCTTACAGTTCATCAGCCCATACTTCCTTAGCTTGCCTAGGAGAATGTTGCGGGAGACCGTATTAAAAGCCTTGCTAAAATCAAGGTACATCATATCCACTGGTCTCCCTGCATCCGCAGAGACAATCATCTCATTATAGAAGGTACTCATGTTGGTCAGGTATGACTTGTCCCTAGTGAATCCATGCTGACTCTTCCTAATCACCTTCTTCTCCAAGTGCTTAGAAATGGATTTCTTGAGGATCTGCTCCATGATTTTTCCAAGTACTGAGGTGAGGCTGACTGGTCTGTAGTTCCCTGGATTGTTCTTCTTCCCTTTCTTAAATATGGGCACTATGTTTGTCCTTTTCCAGTCATCTGGGATCTCTCCTGATTGCTGTGAGTTTTCAAAGACGATGGCCAGAAGCTCTGCAGTCTCATTACCTGACTCCCTCAGCACCCTCAGGTGCATCCCATCTGGTCCCGTGGACTTGTACACATCCAGCTTTTGTAAACAGTCCCTAAACTGTTATTTCACCATGCTGGCTGCTCACCTCCTCCCCACACTGCTTCCTGGTGCAGTCTGGGAGCTGACCTTGCCTGTGAAGACTGAGGTGAAGAAGGCATTGAGCACGTTAGTCTTTTCTGCTTCTGTCACAAGGTTGCCTCCCCAATTCAGTAAGGGACAAGACTGTCTGATCCCTGTCTTACTACCAACATACTTGTAGAAATCTTTCTTGTTACCCTTCATGTCCCTTGCTAGCTGCAAGTTCAGTTGTGTTTTGGCCATCCTGACATCATCCCTGGATGCCCAAGCAATGCTCTTAAATTCTTCCCTAGTTTTGTCCAAGTTTCCACTTCTTATAAGCTTCCTTTTTGTGATTTAGTTTACTGATGAGTTATCTGCTAAGCCAAGCTGGTCTTCTGCCATACTTGCTAGTCTTCCTGCACATTGGGATGGTTTGTTCCTGCACTCTCAGTAAGGCTTCCTTGAAGTACAGACAGCTCTGTTGGACTCCTCTCCCCCTCAGACTGGCTTCCCAGAGGATCCTGCCCATGAATTCCCTGAGTGAGTCAGTCTGCTTTTATGAAGTCCAGGGTCCTTACTCTGCTACTCTCCATCCTTCCTTCCCTCAGGATCCTGAATTCAATCATCTCATGGTCACTGCTGTCCAAACTACCATCCACTACTACATTCCCCACCAATTCGTCCCTGTTTGTACATCCCCATATTGTATCTAGGGAAAAATCCATTAACTAGTGGGTGTTCAGATGTTGGACAAGGGCCATCACATTTTTTGCACAATAATTTTGGTGAGGAGGACATTTCCACCTGGGAGCAAGACACCCAGAGGGTGTTTGGACTTGCTTCTCCTTCCTAGCAGGGTGTTCTAGCTACCAGGCCATGCATTGTTGGCATTATTTAGAATGTGTGAAATTTTGGCATCCGTTTAATTTCAGAGGTGTTTTGCCTCGTTTTGGTGCCCGAAACACTGAATTCAAAATGAAATGGAAGGCTCCAAAACATCTCCAAAATGAAACAAAGCCATCTGAAATGTTTTGGAAATGTTTGGGATGTTTTGGAATGTTTCAGAGGCGCCCCCCGGGAATAGTCCAGCACAGCCCCATAGCCGTCTTTTAAAGCGCTGGAAGGCTGGGGCCGGCCAGGGCAGGCATGGGGGTTTCTCCCACGGGTCCCCCCACTAGGGCAGAGGCAGGCATAGCTGGAGGAGCCGCAGGAGAATTCCCCATGGCTTCCCTACCTGGCCCCATCCCCCGCCCGACCCCAGCTTCCTGGCACTTAAAAAAAAAAGAAAAGTCCCTCACTCACTGGATGCAGCAGCAGTGATCAGGGCCTCTGAGGGCTCGTGGCAGAGCCACCCCATGCAGTGCAGGGCAGTGTGGGGCATCAGGGATCATCCCCCCATCTGGCACCCCTGTAGCAACTACCCCATGGCTCATGTGCAGTGTGGCTCAGCAGGGCACCGCACACTGTTTGGAAGCTGGAGCACCTGGGGCTGATCTGTGCCAGGCTCTGGGTGATAGGTGGAGCTGCCCCAGCTCCCAGACAGCGCGCGCCACCCTGCTGAGCTGCACTGCACCTGCCCAGAGGCCCTGATCACCACTACTACAGCTGGTGAGTGAGGGGCTTTTTTTATTTTTTTTTTAAGTGCTGGGAGGGAGAGGGGGCCAGGCAGGGAAGCCATGGGGGCTTTTTCCGCAGCTCCCCCAACCCAGGGAGAGGCAGGCAAAGCCAGAAGAGCTGTGGGAGAACCTGCAGCCATCCAGCCAGGCCTGCCTCTCCCTGGCCAATCCAAATCTCTGAAATGGTGTCGAAACTCTGAAACAGACTTGGCCAAATTGAAACAGAATAGCGATTCGAAACACTGAAACGAATCACTGTCCTCTAAAATGGCTGAATCCAAAACCGAAACAAAACATAGCCGTTTCACACAGCCGTACTCTCCATCCTTCCCTTTGAAACTGACACATTGCACCCTGTAGTTAATATTCATAAGCATCCGTTTCACTTAGCCACACACATTCTGGCTTGGTCTTCTTCCTGGACACTTATATCTCCTTCCCTTAAGTGCCTAGGTGACCAGGTTCAAGAGGAGGAGTTAGAAGGATTCTGAATAATGCCTAGTCCATAGCCTGATGGCTAGAATGCCTTGCTGGCAGCCAGAAGAGTTTTAAAAGTCCTCTGGATGAGGGGTACTAGACCTTGTGTTTCCAGTTCTCTGGATACACAGTTGCCTAACCAGTAAGTAGCTGGGCTAAAAACAAGGTAGGGTTCTTCTCCATTTCACTTCAAGAAATTATGTATGCAAGATGATGCTATTCCTCTGCAGAGTAAAACAAAATCCTAAACTGTGTATAAGTGCCAAAAATGGCTGCTTTGTCTGTGTCATTTAGGCATGTAAAGTGAAACAGGCTTTTTATAGAACTAAGTGCCACACAGCACCTCCTGACACAGACCTGATGTCTATTTTGGAGATGCAGCAACCTGAGGTAAAGGGGATTTCCCAAGATCATGAAGGATGTCTGTTAGTATTGATTTCATATTTTCAGTCTCATTAGTGTTCCTCCAGTGGAAAAAAAAAATCTGCCTTTCCATTGCCTAAAGTGTCTTATCCTACCTTCAAGACGTATCTTCAAGAGGAGACTGGACAGTCACCTTGCTGGGGTCACCTGACCCCAGTTGTCTTTCCTGCCTAGTGCAGGGGGCTGGACCTGATGATTTTGCAAGGTCCCTTCCAAAATCTATGAATCTACCTCTATTTAGTTGATCTAATAAAAGATATTACATGTACACAAAGAATCTTGCCTACCTATTGTCCTACCTCTATGAACTTCTTATTCATTATAATGTAGCAGACACATTACAAGCATTTTTGTTCTCTGCTTATTTGCTTTGAAATGTGCTCTTGATTGAAAGTTGTTATATTCATTATGGACAGGTGAACCAGTTCAGTTAAGTATAATCTAATCTCAACACGGTATTTTTAATGTACTTTTGGTAAAACGGTGTTGGCCATCGGTTGGCTTCTTCTGAGACTAGACATATTGAAATGTCACAGGAAAAGTTATTTCCAGAATATGGAAACTGATGGAATTGATGAGATTCTCATGGATAGTGCTCAGAAGAACGTTAGCTCACGGTCTGTGTACATGGGGACACGCAAGAAAGTTAAAGTGGAATCAACCAAAGCTGTGAAGTTAATGTACAGGTGTTAAGGTGCATTAAACCCAGTGGGAACACTTTCTTTCAGAAGCAAAGTTTGCCATAGCTTAATCCTCAGAAGTAAGGCCACTACTTCAAAGTGAATGGGTTCCCACTGGGATTTAATGCAGTTTAACTTCTGTGCATTAACTTCACAGCTTCAGTTGATTAGTCTTTACTTTCCTTTTTGTCCCTGTGTAGACAAAGCTTTCTAGGGCCAGAACATTTATCAGAACCAAATTTGAGCTCTGAACCTTGTTGCATATTGCCCATCATTAATATTTATACTGGCCAAAAGATGAGGCCCTGGGAGTTCATCGCTTTCCTTTGGGATAACTTTGTAGTCTGACAACTTCATTTGAGCTTCTTTAGAATTAGCATGTCGGGCTTTTTATAAATGCTGTTTCATTTGAATAGCTAGGTAGTTTATAGAGGGGATTAAATATACTAAAGTATTGTTTTAATAATTTAGCTGAGGCTCCTTTTGTGAAACAGACAGCAGAGAAGATTATAAAAATCCCTTTGTTTTATTAAGGGGCTTAGATATATTGGAGTCTTGTGTTCTCACTCTTATTCCTACCATGCTGCTTTCAAGCAAGCTGCTTGTGGTTTTTTAAAGTAAAATGCAAAACAACATTTAATTTGTAGTCCATGCACAAAATGCAGTGTCATTTCTCTCCACTTTAATAAATGGTGTAGCATTGTAGTACAATTTTATATAATGCTGTTAATTTAAAAAATGCTGCCATCTAGTGGATATTTTGTGTGTAAAATGTAACTAGTTTATTTATGTCTCTTCAGCCATTACACACTTCAGTTTTCTAGGCAAATTGTAATCATTAACATCATATAACTTTTTCATGGAATAGAATAAGACATACTTATGGGAAGAAGTACAACAGGTTTTAAAAGTCAGAATATTGTATGTGATCCTACTTCATTTGTTTCAAAACTCTAAAATATATTTCCAGAAGTGCTACCTTCCCATAACTACAAAATCAAGGACAGTTTCAAGTGTTTAGTACCTCCAAAAAAGAGCTTAATATACAAATACTAAAAAACAGTTATCGAGATAATTATTTATTATCTATAGTTATACTTCATTAGCTGAGCCTTTTCCACATATTATGAGCCTTGTAGTATCTAAACTATCTAATGCAGTGCATAAAATCTGAGTGCCCAAATTATATGAGAATGTCCTTAAACAGCAACTAATAAAATAATTCACGGTTTGGGATATATGTGCATTACATAGGAAACTTGTCTGTGTCAATAAATCGAACAAATGCGACTTTAATGGCTATGTTGTATAGAGGGTAGGTATGCTAGCTATCAGGTTGGTTTTTTTGTAGTCATTTTGTTTTTTATCTTTTTAGGAAATTTATCAAAGATCTTTCTTTCCTTCAGGGTTGCTTTGTTGCCTTTGACCTGGCACATGCTGTTGGTAACGTAGAACTTCATTTACACGACTGGGGAGTAGATTTTGCCTGTTGGTGCTCCTACAAGGTAAGCATTGCTCTAGTATTTGACAATCATTCAGTTATGGGCAGACAGGTTCAGAATAGGACCCAAACTTTGCTATTTTAATCCAAATACCCAAACTTGTTGACTTCAGAGCATTCAATAAAGAACCTCTTGTTCTAAAGGATTTTGCTGAGGGACTGAATGGGTAGTTGTTTGGATGAGCTGTATGAATATTTTGTTGAGAGAATGAGTGGATAGTTGTGGTTGATTGGATGAGCTATATGAGTATTTTGTTGAGAGATGCTTGAACTTGACATGACATTTTAGGATTCCCAACCCTTAGACCTGTATTTTTTAAGCATTTGTATAAATACACATAACTCGGACAAGATGTTTTTAAGATTAAACTTCTTCTTCTTCTTCTACTTCTTCTTCCCTCACTTGTCCTATCTACCTGTCTGCTTTTCCAGATCCTGGCTCTCCTAGATTTGTTCCTTAGATCTGCATCAACATGATTTGACAGAGGTTTTTTTACAGCCAAGTGCCCTTCCTGACACTAACCCTCCTTTATCCAGATTTGGGATGGGCATTGGATGGGTAGAATTGCTTTTAAGATTAAACTAAAGAAACATTTTTTTTAAAAATATTTTGCCATGGAGAGATAATAGGTGAGGCCAGAGTCTCAACTAAAAGCCTACTGAAATATAAAATCTTTGGTTTTATAGAGTATGGAAAATGAGGAGGTGGAAATAATGAGAACAAAGTATATACATGTTAATTTATTCTTTACAGTATTTAAATTCTGGAGCAGGAGGCCTGGCAGGTGCTTATATTCACAGGAAACATTCCCAGACTATAAAACCAGCGTAAGTATTCCTGCTTGTTCAAGAAACTCCACAGAGGTGCTATAAACTTTAAATAGAAAACACTTTTCTCTTTCTGTTAAAGTCTGTTACTTTTGTGGTGATCCTGTTTGACAGGCCAAAGAGGAAACTTTGAAGGCTGGATAAAGTTTAAGAGGATTGGGCCTAAGCCCCAAAAAGGACTACAATTCAGGTTTAATAGCACTGTAACATTAATAAGCTGCTGCTTTTAGCCCCAGATTCTAGAAATCTCCTCATCTTATTGTCTTTAGTAAAGGAGTAAGAGGAGTAGCGTAATCTGTGTGAGACTCCCACAAACTTGGGCTGATACCTCTTGATTAAAGGGTTCCTCTCAAGTTTTCATGTGTGTTTGAAATGGAAGAGTCCTTAAGGATGGGTTAGAACTAGAGATGTATATCTGAAAATTTATTGTCCACAAATTTGGAGGCAATCAGCTGTAAGGTTGCAGTCTACCCCATCTCTTTTGCATAAACAAAGGTACTTGTCATATATCAACACCTTGTGCTTCAGTGATAACTAACTTTCTTATTTTCACTCGTGGAAATAAATGGATAAAACAGATTGTTTAAAAGAATATACCTAGAACTTGCAGGGTTTTTTTCTTAAAGGGATAGGAATAGAATTGTGTGCATCTCCACAATTTTGCTTCTCAGAAGTTGAGATTTTTTTTTCCATTTCAGTTTTCAGCCCTTGATTTTTATTGTTAATAATGATATTTTTGGTAGAATTTGGAATATTCGTCCAACTTACCACATTTCAAATATTAGAAGGGTGCTAAATATAAGTTGAAGTTACAGGCCCCATCCAGCAAATTGGTTCATGGAAATAATCTCATTGAAACGAATAGGGTTACTTAATTAGAGACTCCAAAGTTAAGACCTTTATCCTGGCATAAGCTCCACATATGCAAATCACAATACCCCATTGAAGGCAAAGAATTGTTAAGGTTTTATCCCTATGTTTTATGTAATACAACATAAAATCAAGAAAAAGAATCATATGGACTTTCATGACAATATCTCTTAATAGGGAATTGTTTAACTGTCTTATTGTGACCCAAATTGTATTGTTCTGAGAAAGGGCAAACCCAGGGAGTGAGGTGCTATGGCCACTCCCCTCTTTGCCATTGGTTCACCACAGAACTCCAGTGGGTCAGCTACAGATGATGAGCTCAATTGATAAGCAAAAGCTCAATTGAGCAGCAAAGATAAGGAAGGAGTTGAACAGCCTAAGGTAATGGCAGAAGGATTTCTTAGAGAATCTAGATGCATTTAATTTGGCAGAGCTGGATGGGGTGTACCCCAGGAAACTCAAGGAATTGACTGAAGTAATTTCAGATCCAAGTTCTCTCTGAGAACTTGTAGAGGGAGTATGAAAACTCAGGTGTTTGGGAAAGGGCAAATATAATGGCCATCTTTAAGTAAGGGAAGAAGAAGGAGCCAGAGAATTATAGACGTTTTGGTCTGACCGCAATACCTGGAAAGATCATGGAGTAGAAATCTGTCGTGAAGCACCTAGAAAAGAACAAGATGATCAAAAACAGCCGCTATGGACCTACAAAGAGCAAATCATGTCCAACCAACCTGATTTCCTTCTGTGATAAGGTGATAGGCTCTGTACATGTGAGGAGGGAGAGCAATGGATATGATATAACTTGACTTTAGCGAGGGTATAGGTTATAGCCGTGTTGGTCCAAGAACATAGCCAGACAAGGTTCTTTGAGTAATTCCGATATCTCTTATTAAACCAACTAAAATAGTTGGAAAAATTCTTCTTCGCAAGCTTTCTGACACTGTCTCCCACTAAAAATAAGTTAATTCTTATTAACAAGCTAAGGAAATATGGACTAGATAAAAATATGGTAAGGTGGATACATACGTAGTTGGATCATCATGCTCAGCAAGTAGTCATCAAATGACTTAATGTCTAGCTAGGAGGGGGTATCAAGTGAGGTTCCCCAGGGGTTTCTCCTGGATCCAGTATTGTTTAATACCTTCATTAGTGATTTAGATGGTGGTACTGAGCACCTACATAGCACATTTGTGGATAACACCAAAGTGGGTGGAATTTCAGATTCTCTGGAGGACAGGGCTATGATCCAGAATGCCCTTGATAGACTGGGAAAATTGTCTTCAGTCAACCAGCTGAGAGTCAACAAAGTCCTGCACTTAGGATGGACTAATAGCATGCACAGATACAAACAGAGTAACCACTGGTTAGTCTGCATTACTGCAGAGAAAGACCTGGGGGTTACTGATGGATAACTTGAATTGTGCTATTATTACAAAAAAGGTCAACAGCATACTGGGGCCTCTTAAAGACACTCAGTTTCTCCTGGGAGAGTTGCTGCTCTCCCAGGAGAAACCATGTGTGTACACATATTTGGGCTTTTTTCTCCCAAAATAAAAATAGCTGCTCCAGGAGAAAAATAACCTGGGAACAGCTAGGGTTAAATCATTCTTGGGAAAGTTCCTCCTGTGAGAGTAAATGCCTGTACAACTCACCCTTTGAGGGAAGCCACATAACAGTCCTCCAGCATTCCACTCTGCTCCAGTGTCTCTCTTGGGAAACTGTCATTTTGGCTGGATACTACTTCAATCAAGCCAGGAGCAGAACACATCCCTTTCACAATCCCACATTTTGCTTCAGGGAGACACAGTCCGACTCTTAGCAGTATAGGTTAGCTAACTGCCAACCCTGTGCACTGCTGCCATCTCTCTCCAGGCAGACTGAGAGAGCCTGAAGAGCATGCTGAGATGTGTGCATAAAAGCCCGCTGGCTGTACAGTGTCAGCACTGCACAGGGGTCAGCATTTGAATGTCTGTTCAGGCATCTGCAGGTAAGTTTTTCTACCAGGAAAATAAACCCATGAAAATTCTTCTGTGTTATTTGGATATATGTAGGCATCCAGGAGTATATCAACAGGAGTGTCACCTGTAAAGTGTCAAGAGAAGTGATTATTAACAAGCTAAAGAAGTGATTATTAACAAGCTATTATTGACAAGTGTCTAGTTTTAGGTCCCACACTTTAAGAAGGATGTGGACATATTGGAATGAGTCCACAGGAAAGCAACAATCATTATAGGCCTGGGAAGCATGACTTATAAGGAAAGGCTCAAAGAGCTAGAGTTATTTAGTGTGGAAGGAGGATATGGTAACAGTCTTCAAATGCCTGAAGGGCAGTTATACAGAGGATGATAATGAACTGTTTGACTATGAGGGTGGCCAACATTGCAGGTTAGACAGACACTTGGCTGGGATGGTTTAGTCAAGCATGATCCTGCTTTGCACAGAGGACTAGGCTAGATGACCTTCCTACTTTCCTATGATCTTAGGACATTTTTTTTTTACTAATATTAAATTTTCAGTTTCACTATTTGAGAATTTCAATAAAATATGAAAAGCTTAGGAATTCTAGTCAGGGACCTTGTGCTAGGTGTAACAAAATACATATATAGTTTCTGTCCCACTACTTAGTTTAAGTGCAACTTCAGACAAAAGGCAGTTAAATTAATTTTATGCAAAATAGGTAACTGAGAAATTTGTAAATGATGATAATTTTAAACCCCATTAACACATACCCATGCAGATCCAAAATACTTCTCCTTGGAGGCTGCTTTCAGTTATATATGCAATACAACCAAAAAGGGAATGCTTATGATTTTAAAAGTAAGTGGGTTGCAATCATGCCTAAAAGACACTTTAATGTAAAGGGAATACTTTTTAAATTTTCTTTTAAAATTAGATTTTTTTTAAAAACATCATATATGTCTCTGGTTGGTGAACAAAATCAAAGGCAGTTTCTACTCTGTGTCTAATAGCTCTTTAATAGTGGCATGTTTTCATTAAAATTATATCCACATTTAAAGCCAAGAAGCATTACATGAAGATCTGTGTTCTGAAAGACTTTATAATCCATGAAAAGCTGTGCTATGAGGTTGGCTGCATAAGAAGAAATACCTATTTAAAAAATGTTTTACATCTACTGTCATACATATTAAGAACAGTAGGATTAAGATTTTTAATGCATCAACAAATGTAAACACTTCTTTCCAGTTGTAATGCTTGGCGAAATTGTTGGTACATACTTTTATTTTATCTGGAACAAAGCAAACTAAATCAAGTTTCAGAGATAAATAATATTACAGTACCCAATTGCATTGCATTATGTGCAACTCCTAGACTGTCTAGACTCCTAATAGATAACACAATAATGCTGATTGAGAAGATTTCCAAGAGCTAATCGCCTACAACCGAGAACTCATTATTGGACTTACATTTGTGAACTAACTTGATCCTCCCAAATTTGGTTTGTTTGAGGAAAAACATCAATATGCTGCTCCTAAATTCTTCCATCAAGGTACCTTCCTCCCCCTGTTTCTGCTTCCATCTTTTCTTTCCTTTTTTAAACCCTTACTACAATTTTTTATAATTGCCTGTAGCTTCTTCTCTCAGTTCTTTGTCCTTTGTTCTCTTCCCTTACTCAGTAGAGTAACTCATCTATTCCACAGGGTATTCTTTGTCTCTACTCCATGGTTTCCAAACAAGCTTTCAGGGGTGGTAATAGACAAACAAACAAGCTCCCTGGTCCCTGACTCACCTCTGGATCTTTCCATCTTTGATATGCTTCATGATACAGTCTTGTTTTACTCTTTGGCTAAGTACAGACAGTCAAAAAGCCTGAGGCAGAATCAGGCCAACCTTCCCAGGTTTCTCTAAGCTACTAAGATTGAATTGAGAGCAAACAAAACTCGTGTTTGCACTTTGGGAGGTGTGGGGAAGGCAAACAAATGCCAGCACAGGCCAAGCCAGAAGGCGAGGGGCACTTGTGCATGCCTCTTGAGGGTAGCTGAGCCCAATTGAGTAGGGCCATCCCTGACTGTCTGTCAGGCACATGCCCCCAACACCCCTGCTGTCACTCCAGACCCTACCCCTGCATCAGCTGCATCAGCTGCATTAGGCTTCCAGGGCTGGTTGGCACA